TTTGAGAGAAACCATGATTCTGCTACCACTGTCTATTATTTGGGTTCTGATAAAAGTTTACAGCTTACAAAGTGTATTCATAGAAACCATTGAAAGATAAGTGACTTTAAGAGTAGATGTGCTCTCTGAAAGGAGGGAATGTGTATGGAGAAGTAAATAGATTCAGGAAGTGAATTTGCTTCCAGTAAGGGGATAGGAAAGTGAAGCCATCTTCATGGGTAAAAGATTGTACTGAAAAAATTAAGAGGTCTGTTAAAAAGATGTGTAGTAGGACTTCCCTGGTGGCGCAGTGGTTGAGAGCCCGCCTGCCGATGCAGGGGACACAGGTTCGTGCCCCGGTCCGGGAGGATCCCACATGCCGCGGAGTAGCTGGGCCCGTGAGCCATGGCCGCTGAGCCTGCGTGTCCGGAGCCTGTGCTCCGCAACGGGAGAGGCCATGGCAGTGAGAGGCCCGCGTGCCGCAAAAAAAAAAAAAAGTGTAGTTATGGAAACCGAGGTGATACAGAGGTCAGGATATAAATGGATTATTAGTTTCAGATTAAAAACAAGAATTGAGGACAGTGATAAGAATTTAGCTCTGAAAGAGTGCAATTTTAGTACAGTGATCAGAATAGGGTCGTACTGAGGTGGAGATTAAATGTAGAAGAAATATAGGTAGCAGATATAAACTGACTGTTTGATAATTAACAGTGAAAGAATCTAGAAAAACAGATGGCTTCTGGATGGGTTATTAGGGTCAAATGAAAGGGATTTTTTTTTCCAGGTTAATGTTTTCCTTATTCCATCTTCCTGCCAATTATCTCCTGTCCTTGTTCCAGAATTAACCTTATATGCAAGTAGTAAAATATACTTCATGATTACTGGCATAGTTATAGAAAGGTGCCTATCTAAAACTTACATATCAATTATAAATTTATAGTTCTGTTCATTCATTCATGTAAATTAAAGAAGATTCTGCTTTTTAAATTAAACATAATAAAAAAGTAGTAATATGAATCAATAAAATTAGAACATCCAGCTTTACAGTTTTAGTACAAAATATTTATGCAGGTATTGTACTATGTCTAATAAATTTGAGAATCTTTCCTGAATAAATATGTATAAAGAAGCTATTTTAATACTTTAACTTCAGAATAATAACGTTTGTTTGGTTTGATTAATCAGAGTCTGGCAGATTGGGTATAAGAACATTTGCAAAATTATCACACTATCTCTTCCCTCTATTGGGGAGGATCTAGAATTGTTTAATGAGAGAGAGATTGATAGAGAAAGAGAGCTTTCTCCATATCAGCTGACATCCTTCCAACTTGTATTAAATTCCGTGCTGATAATTCCTTGTATTAAATTCCATGGTTTGTTTCTCTCCTGAACAAACTAAAAGAGAAAATAAATGATATATTGGAAATAGGGATAGGAAAGGCTAAATAAATGTGGTTGTACAGAATCTTATAGACTCTGAATTAATTTTAATAATTTATTTCTAAATTAAATTTTTAAGAATATGAAATCTTTTTTATTCTTAATAATGCCTCTTAGAAGAAGTTTTAATCTTGAACACATTTTTAGAGTATTGTCTAGATTTTGGTTATTCATTATAATCCACTATAATTCAACCATTATAAATACAGGGAGATATCACTGAGAATATTATCATCAGTTGTTGACTTAGGGAAAATATATTTTTCCTTTTTTTTTCTTTTAAACTATGAAGCAACATTATGGTTATATAAATAAATAAAACTACTCACATTCCTGCCTCCCTTAAACAACTGTTAGAATTATTCCTTGTTCCCTTCTAGTTTTAGCTATAAGTGTTCATAGATAGACTTTTCAATGACTTTATAATTTATAATTTTCTATTGTATAGAAAGACCATGATTTATGTTTCCCATTTTTCCTATAACCAGACATTTAAGTTACTACAGATTTTTCTATTCAAGATAACAGTATATTGAATGTCATTGTTCCTATAGATTTTTATTCTTTAAGTTATTTCCTTTAGGATAAATTCCAGGAGTAGGTTTACTTGGTCAAAGACTATCAACCATATATTAGTTGGTTATATATATTACATATATTAGGTATATATTTATGTTGATTATATATATGTTAGCTATTATGTAACTTGTGTAAGATCATATAGCTAAAAAGTGACAGAACTGGGATTAGAGTCTGGCAGTCTGTACTAGATACCATGTTCTTTACCAGTCGGCTACACTGCTGGCTTGAGAGATCTACAATTCTATCTTAATATATTCCCAATAAAAGTAATATTCATTCAGTTCATCTATCAAAATTATAGCAAGAGTCTGCTCTGTGTCTGACACTGTATTGGGGATTCAAGAAAGAACAGGATATAGACCCTGCCATAGAAGGCTGTAAACCAAGTGGGAGAAGGGAAAAGATATGTAAGAAAGTAACTGTGATACAATGTAATGAATTATATAATTAGAATATTATAGGAAGACAAAGAAGGGAATGACCAAATGCCACTGGAGGAGGCCACGTTGTGTAAAGAGGCTTCTAAGTAGGGCTGGGTTTGTTTAGATGGCTAGGTCAGGTCTTGGGGAACCAAATAGCAGAGCAAGCAATGAAGAGCCTACAAATGTACTGCAGGGGTCAGAAGGCCATAAAGGCTATGTAGGACTGTAGAGAAAATATGCACAGTTAGGGTTTTCTGAGCAAATTTTATTAGAACTTGGGACCTGGGCTTAAAAGACAAGCCTTGGAAGTTAAACTTTGACTGAGTAGAGATTGAGAACTCCAGAGAGGTTTACCTCTCAGGAGATACATGTTTACATTTGAATAAGGTGTGGATGAGACCTAAGACCATTGAGACGTTCCCTAAGTTGTAAGACTCAGAGATGCTAGTCTTATCTTCTGCCCAGAAACATATTTTACATTCCAAACCATAAGAACCCAGGATCTTCCCTAGGACAATTTGTTCACACTCAAGGATAGGATAGGTTCCCCCACTCTGACACCCCCCCACCCGCTTCTCTCCCTGCCTCCCCCCATCTCCAGAGGGGAGGAGGTCTGCTATACAAGCCTTCCAGAGTCTTATTTTTGCAGCTAATTGCTTTATTAACTTCCTATTGTTGCTGTAACAAATTACCACAAACTTGGTGACTTAACACAAATTTACTATCTTAAAGCTCTGGAGATCAGAAGTCTCAAATGGTTTCACTGGATTAAACTCAAGGTTTTGGCAGAGCTGTATTCCTTCTGCAGGCTCCTGGGTAGAATCCCTTACCTTACCTTTTCCAGTTTCCAAAAGCTGCCTGCACTTCTTGGCTTGTGACCCCTTCTACCATTTTTAAAGACAGAGCATAGCATCTTCGAATATCTCTCTGATTCTCACCCTCCTGTCTTTCTCTTCTAAGGACTCAAGATTACATTGGGCCCACCTGGATAATCTAGGATAATTTCCCAATGTCAAGAACCTTAACTTAATCTTATCTGCAAAGTCCCTTTTACCGTGTAAGGTAACATATTCACAGGTTCCAGGAATTAGGACATAAACCTCTTTGGGGTGGGGACATTAGTCTGCCTGTCACATTCGCCCACAGCGCAGACCCCAGTACATGTATTGTACTGTGATGTCTGATCGGGCTTGGATTGCATTACCCCAGTGGTAAGAGTTGGGTTATGAGGGACTGGCATGGTTATTATAAGTAATAATATTTCATTTGTTTCTGCTTCAGAGACTTCATGTCTTACTTTCAGGCTAGTTTTGAAGGGCTATATTGCCGAGCTGTGTAGAATCTTGAATTATAAAAACAGGAAATATGCAGAGTTGTTCTGAAAGTTGTCTGGGACCTTCTACTACTTTAGGACAACTTACTCAGCCTTTTTCTGATAAGAGCGTTCCACCTTGGCTAACTCATTCAAATTGAAAAGCCCATCCTAGTTCCTTTTTGGTCAGGGTTTTTGGTTTTTCTTGTTCTAAGCTGAAACTAACCTAAAAACAATTCAGATGAATCTAGGATTTAAGAGTTTGACTCTCATTGCTCTTCTGTACTTGGACATAGGAACGCAAATGATACCATACCTCCGCAGTAAATGTGATTCATCTTCAGATATGGGACTGTATGCCCATTTCATAGTGTATTTGTGTTTTTTAGTACAGGCTGACTGTATTTTAGTAGGTTTTATCCAACTCATTTTCCAGTATCCTATTATGGCCACTGAACTGGCTCAAATATTAGTCCATTGACCCTAGCTCAAGGATGTAGTGGATGCTAGGCATGGATGCTAGGCACAACTCTCAGATCTGGGTTTGGCAGTAGCTAAGGCAGCTCACCTAGACCTACCATTGGTAAGGGCTGCCACGTTGGAATTAGATCTTTTTCTCCCAGAACTAACCATAGCTTACTCCCCTCAAAAAGTATTACAACGTGTAATATGTGCCTTATTCTTTCAAAGGCTAGCCAAAGACTTAGGTAGAGAAATTTTTCCTAGATTTAACATTTAACGTTCCCACTAGCTCCCAGACTTATGCATTGCTTGCTTCGCTTATATTGTCACCATCCTTATTAAGTAAATATGTACTCAAGAAAAAAAATAGAGCAGAGCAATAAACAAAAAAAATTGGTGTGGTATGTTTAATACTGTACCTAAGGCATTTATGTTAATTGACATCTTAGTCTGTAAGTGGCCCTTTCGGTTCCTTTCCTTCTTCCTCCCCTTCCTTTTATCTTGCTTGTTTCTTCACTTCTCTTTCATTTTCCTTTTCCTTACCTTTCTTTTTTCTTCCTATGCCTTTTTCTCTTTAATTAGCAAATACTGTAAAGATATGCAACTTTGGTTTTTTGGTATTATTATTCTAGAATGGAGTTTTTTATAACTAAGAATTAGTCATTCAACGTATTTTGAAACAGTGCTTCAATAGAAATTGGATTAGCAGCTTAAAAGTAGAGGTTACCTTTTAAATGTATCTTCTGTGTACTATTTCAAGGTAGGAAAAAACTGATTTTCATCCTTTTCCTTTACCATTTTAGGACCTTTCTTTTTGGTAGAGATGGAAATCCAAATAAACGGAATGTACACAATGAAACATCTATGCATTTGTTATGTATGGGCCCTCAAATTATGATATCGGAAGGAGCCCTTCATCCTCGCTTAGCACGCCCCGCGGAAGATGATTTTAGAAGAGCAGACTGTCTGCAGATGATTTTAAGATGGAAAGGAGCAAAACTTGACCAAGGCGAATATGAGAGAGCAGCTGTTGATGCAGTTGATAACAAAAAGAACACACCCCTGCACTATGCTGCTGCCTCAGGGATGAAAACCTGTGTAGAGGTAAAACTTCGGTGGTGTTTTTTTTTTAAATATTCTGCATGGTAAAATCTGTGTCTTGGTAATGTGTAATAATCAGTTTTGTTTTACTTATCTTAACAGTTAATTTAGCTAGTCATTTCTGTCCCTTTTGTGGTTCTAAAAGAATCAGGAGCCCTTGTTTTAGGGAAAACAAACCCATAAACATTCATCCTTGGAAATAAAATGGAATTAGGAGCAATTGAAAATTTGCTAACATTCCTGAAGATAACAGTCATCATACAAACTCTATCATATTGAGAGTAATAGTTTTAGTAGAGATATGTTTTACATTTTTTGCTTATTTTTAGAAGCCAACTTATAAAATTTATACATATGGCAAATCTTGACAAGTGGGACCTTTAGCTATATATAGAATTGATCAGTTCCCTAAGCAATTGAAATATTAATGAATACATTTATTGGGGTCTTTTAAAAACATATATATATTAAAATGTGCTGGCTTTTTCTGTGTAGTCTGCATTAAAGTGCCTGAATACTCTATTGTAATTGAGTTTTTCCATATATGTTTTTCATATATATATAAATATCTAACAACAGGCTTAGATAAAATCAACCATATAGTGTAGGATCTTAACTAAGCTAAGAAATCATTACTCTTTGTACTGTCATCACTACTCTACATACAGAAGAACAGGTTTCTCTCAGCTATGTAGAAGTCAGTCCATACATAATTCTTAGAAGTTCTTTTGTATAGATGTACTTAAGTTTCAGTGGGGAGAATTATAGATTGAATCACAGAGTATCCAGTTACCAAAAATGTAGGACTTTATTGGAAAAATCAATGATCCAGATTAAATATATATTAATCAGATTAAAATACATATCTGAAAATTTAGTATTTCCTTAATGTTATTCATCTATATAAACTTTATATTTCTAAATTGATAAATATACCAAAAAACATGAAGGTCCTTCATTTTCTTACTCGTGTTAAAAGGTTATGGCCATTTAGGGACTTCCCTGGTGGCACAGTGGTTAAGAATCCTCCTGCCAATGCAGGGGACACAGGTTCAGTCTCTGCTCCAGGAAGATCCCACATACTGCGGAGTAACTAAGCCCATGTGCCACAACTACTGAGCCTGCGCTCTAGAGCCCGCAAGCCACAACTACTGAGCCCACACACCAAAACTACTGAAGCCCGCACACCCTAGAGCCTGCGTGCTGCAACTACTGAAGCCCGCGAGCTCTAGGGCCCGCGTGCAACAACTGCTGAGCCCATGTGCTGCAACTACTGAAGCCCGTGCAACTAGAGCCTGTGCTCCTCAACAAGAGAAGCCACTGCAGTGAGAAGCCCACACACTGCAACGAAGAGTAGCCCCCACTCGCTACAACTAGAGAAAGCCGGCGTGCAGCGAAGAAGACCCACTGCAGCCAAAAATAAATCTAAAAAAAAGGTTATGGCCATTTATATGATTTCTTTAGTGTATCTGAAGTGTCAGTTATTTTCACTTCTAGAACCTTTCTGATCTTATCTTGTGTTTATTGCTGTTGTTTGTGAAATTATTAATCTTTCAGAATCTTTGTCATTTCATCTCTTGGGTTTGTGTCACCTTTGCCCACTAGTTAATTAGTGACAGTCATTAACTTGAAACTAATTTTAAGCTTTGCTTTCTAACTTTGATTCACGGTGTGGTGGAAGGATGTTCTAGGATTTTGCGGGAGGGAGGCTATGGGCAGAATTCCTGAAGGCTTTTTACACAAGTCTTTTTGTATATTGTTCTATGCCCACCTCTTATGAAAGAATCACTGCCTATAGTGACTCATCATTGTTGACGGGACTGCATCATATTTCTCAAGTGAATTAGAGTAGAAAATATCTTATTCTTGATAGTAATAATAATGCTCTTAAACTGCTGCTTTAATATCTTGCTTCCAAAAATTCTCTATAAGCATTGCTTTAGTAGTTGTTCATTTTGAAGTATGTTTGCAATGACATGTTATTAAATTATTTTTAAAAATTGAATGTGGTGTTTTTACCAACATTGTTTTTTGCTCAGTGAAGGAAATTAGTACCAGGTTTATTCTGAACTGACAGGCCTGATGATTTGCTTGGTGTGAATGTATGTGTAAGTTTTAGCTGTTTGATCTGTCAGCAAATCACTTTATACAAACCACACCATTTAATGACTGTTTTCATTTTTTTGTGTTCAGAAGAGCTCTTTGACTTAATGTAAAACACCTCAAATAGAGCCCTATAAATACCTTCATTGCATTTATTCTAGTTGTCATCAACAGATTTTAGCACATCATTTTACCCATATAAAGCTATCTTAAATCTCTTATATATACTTGACTGTATACCCAGCCTTAGGTCTTAAATGACTTTTGATAATGTTTACTGTTAATTAAACCAGAAGAGTTTCACAGGGAAGTGTACATTAATTTCCAGAGGCCTTATGTTTTCTAGTTCTAGTGAGTAAAACAAATACATTGAAATACATAACCTACTATATAACTGTACTTCTTAGAGAATTAGTCCTCAAGTGTCTTAGTGTTTGTATAAGGTCTTCTAACATTCACTGTGCTCATTGGTACCAAGCATGATATAAAGGGTTTGGGTTGAGTAAAAGACTGTTATCAGATATTTACTAATTTTTTTCATTAAGCTAAGCTATCATAGTATGGTATATAGGGCACTGGTTTCTAGTCTTGGTCCTCACAGAGACTGTCTGTAAGACCTTGAGCGAATCACTCAACTTTGAGATTATCAGTGTCAACCATCCAATAGGAAACTATCACAGTTATCTCAAAAGACCCCTTTTAGTGCTAATTTTCTCTTAATCTGTGATTGCAGTAAAATATATCCCATTTTCAGTGTCTAGCCTTTGAGGTTAAATTGATTATTTTACTCCATGGTTAAGGTCAAGCTATTTTTTTTAACTCTTGAGGACACATCTATGGAAATACGTCTTTTCTAGTTGTTGATGTTTTTCTCTCTGTGTGTTTATTTAAGGACAGAGCTGATAAAGTCAACAGCAGACAATTTCATATGTGCATTTAAACACATACTTTCCTATGGCTCATTATTTTGAACCATATAAATGAAATGTTTAAAAACTTCCCCTTCTCTCTGTAATAACTGTGTTCCATAGTCAGCTAAAGGGACGCACACATACACACACAGAACATAACATAAAAGTATCTTTTTTTTAAATTTATTTATTTTATTTGTTTTTGGCTGCATTGGGTCTTTGTTGCTGTGGGCGGGCTTTCTTTAGTTGCGGTGAGTGGGGGACACCCCCCATCGCTGCACGCTGTGTGTGTGTGGGGGGGCCTGGGACCCTTGCTGCGGTGGCCTCTCCCCCTGCAGAGCATGGGCTCCAGGCGCACAGGCTTCAGTAGTTGTGGCTCGCCAGCTCTAGAGCACAGGCTCAGCAGCCGCAGTGCATGGGCCTAGCCGCTCCCCGGCATGTGGGATCTTCCTGGACCAAGGATTTCTGAGGTCCAGCTCTGTGCAGGTGAAAGGTCCCGCGGGGGTCCTGTTTTCTGCTTCCTAGTCTGGGAGAAGAGAGTGTCTGGGTCTCTTCAGGGAAATGCAGGAGGTTCAGCAGCCACAGGAGGACAGGGTAGAAGGAAGACTGAATCTAAACGCCTCCCTCCTTTTTCTCTTGTGCTGCTGGCTGCTGCCTCATGCTTTTTCCTCTCTTTCTATCTCTCAGAAGTTGTGCTGAGAGAAAAAAACATAGGCCAGAAAAGGGATGCACCCTGGACTGGTGTTTGTGGTGTGTGTGTGTGACTGGTGTTTGTGGTGTGTGTGTGTGACTGGTGTTTGTGGTGTGTGTGTGTGTGTGTGTTTGTGTGTGTGTCCCCAGAGGCTGGAACCACAGTTCCTCTGATGAACCCTGGAGGCGGCCCAGTTCCTGATTGGTGGTTGCCATGGAGACCCACCTAAGCCTCTTTCACCTGAGCTGTATTATCTGAAGAGGGCGGCTCTCTGACCTGACAGTCACCTGAGAAGACCAGGGGGTGAGAGCGAGCCTGTGTCCAGATGGCATTCTCTGCCCTGTCCTCTCCCAGCGGGCACTTGGGGTGGCACAAACTGGGGGAGCCAGACCATGCTCACTGCACCCTCTGTAGAGCCCTAGGTGGACCTGCTCAGGGCAGATGTTTCCAGCTACTTGGTGAATGGTTCCTGGCCAGAACCCACTCTTTCCACCCCCTCCCTCCACCAGGAGAGGGGTGATTCAGGAGCAGAGGGCAGGGGCCTTCACCTTTAATCACCACACCCTCACCTGTCCTCCTCTTTGCTAATCGAAATTCTCTCCTTCCCTCAAGTCAAGCTCAAGTGCAGAAAGTTCTTCTGATGTTCTGGAGGAGGGAGGGGCGAGGCTAAGGAAATAATCCAGGGAGAGGAGGAAAGATGGACTGTGATTATTGAGTTTGAGGTATTTGAGCTAACATGAGGGGCTGGCAGGAGCCCTCCTGTTGCTCTTCTCCCAAATCCCACATTCGCATCTGGGCCTCCTGCCTGTCTCTGTGCTCTGGGCACTGTCACTTGCAGACTGTTCTGGCTTCAGGCCCATGTGGGCCAGACTGCCCCTAACACATCAGAAACCGATGCATGCTGCCCTGTGGGGGGCCTCAGGGGTGCTCGAGTGGGCACTAAGCTGCATTGTAATAGACCTCAAGTGATGCTGTACCAGGTACCAGGTGGTAGGGTGACTTCTGGATACACCTTGTCCTGATTGTATTGAAAATAAAGCAGAAGGCATCGCCAAGTAGAAATTAAACCATGCCTGATGAGCTGCCTCACACTGCTCACCCGCCTGCCTGCGTGTTTTGACTGTGTTCCTGGGTGAAACGCCACTTTGCGCTTCCTCTGTGGCTGGTTCCATTAGGCATATCTGCCGTCCCTCCTCATCCAGCTGCTCAAGCAGGGGTCTTGAGTCAGGAGCTGGACCATATACCTCTCTTGACCAGTTCACAGCCCAACAGTCCCAAAGATTGAGAAGGTCTCTTGG